AAAAAAAAAAAAAAGAAGAAGAAGAGTTAAAATTTATTCTACAAAATAAGCATGCATAATTACAAAATAAGCAGCAACACAGGGGATGATGCATTCCATAACACAGTTCTACGGAAAAACACTAGGAATATAGTAACGAACATCAGTAATCTCACACTAACCTTGAAAATGAATATTAGAGATCCAACGACCTTTTGGTGGTAACTTGAAAGTGAAGGATCTCTAAAAATTCGCATCAGGGAACTGATAGCAACCTGAGGTAAATCAATGTGAAAAAAAAAAATACTAAGAGCATTCAAACTACAATTGATTCGGTGTGCTAAAAAACACAGATTTCTGATTCAAATTCTCACGGTGGAGTAATAATCTTCTGATGTCGCAAAGGATGGCCAAAGATCCATAGGTATTTCATCCATTGACCTGATATGCTGACCAGCATCACAAGCTGCACGAGCAACTTCACCATGGGACCCTGGTAAGGTTAGCTGATTGCGTTTATGCACATGGGGATCTAATGCACCCATTATGCCAAGGACCTAAAATACACAAGTACAGGTTATAATGCTAAGAACATAAAAGACACGAACCATTGGTTAGGCGTAAATATAACAGGTTGAATTAATCTTGACTCTTGAGTAGGCAGCTGAATTAGATACCTTTAAAACTTCACGTCTGGTAGACCATGCCAACTCACCATTGAGCAACTTCAGAAGTAACCCAAGCAATTGAGGATACTCATTATATGGAGTAATAACATAACTGCAGATCATCAAAATAATTTTAGGTTCCATGATCAAGGAAGGTAATAAAAATAGTAGATGAGCTCGTAGCAGTCAAGAAACAGAGCACGTTATACTCTAACTGCTTTATTCATTGTAGTTTTATCATATAACATAAGCACTCTGAAGATTATCTGCATGGAACCAACTTCAACAATATAAATGGGCCTGGGTAGAAGAAAACAATCCCCCCTTGCATTAATTTGTCCCCACTCCAAGTTAATGCCTTAGATTGCAATTGGATATTTGCTGGAGAAATAGCTCACCCCCATGAGCCTATGGAATTTTCAGAAAAGTTATTCACTCATTCTCACTTTTTCTGTCTCCAATCACATCAAGCACTCGATTCAAATGAGAAAGTCAGCACTCCAATATTTCCCACATGTGACATGGTTCACTTACTCACATATCTCTTAACTATTTGACTTTTCAATCATTACTTCATTATGTTCATACCAAAACAAGTTTAATCAATAGATTAACATCTTCCTCCAAGCAAACTCAGAGAAAGTTTATCGTTTTTTTTTTTTTCAAAATGATAAATGGGCTTGGGTAGAACTCATCCCCAAAAGCTAGCTCAAAGGAAGAGAGTGCCCAACCCACACTTATACACAATAATAGCCCGGTAACTAATCAATGTGGGACAAACATAACTTCTAACACCTGCCCTCACATGCAGTGAGCTAAACCAAACGGGCTGGGCCTAAATCCCAACATCGCCTCCAAACAAACAAAATCTGGGTGCTCCAATGTTACAAATGGCGGATGGCGGTTTGCCAAAGTCCGCCTTGCCAAAATTCCGCCATGGTAGCCGCCGTTCCACCAATCCATACCGCCATGGCCGCCATTTGATAACACTACTGCTCTGATAATAAATGGGCTTGGGTAAAACTCATCCCCAAAAGCTAGCTCAACAGAAGAAGGTGCCCAACCCACACTCATACACAATAACAACCGAGTAACTAATCGATGTAGGGCAAACATAACTTCTGACTAAAAAAATCTTTTACCATCTCACCGTGAAAAGAAATTTTATAAAATGGAAGTATATCCAATGATACCCTTAATGAGAAACCATACAAAAGTAAGCTACAAATGAAATAAATCAAAATCAGTCATACCCTGTGCTTTGTACCAATTGGCCTAGAGTGGTAACTGCCACTTCACGTTTCATGGCAGCTGCACTATCTAATAAAGCTTCAACAATTAAGGGCATCAACTCTGGAATATACTGCCTCATTGCAAATCCACCCTGAACACATGGAGACAAAGAGAGAATGAGTAAAAGCATAAACAGTAATCCTTAAATAACTTAAAATATCGCAGACATGAACTCAATTAATACATCAATATATCATGACAAATATGGTTGTAAGATTAAAACTGCCATCAAAAGAAAAGGAAGAAAAAATGTCCAGAGTCAACACTTGGTCCAGACTAAAGACATGCGAAAAACTAAACAAAGTTCGAATAACACTTACTACTCTGGCGAGATCTCCAACAGTTACTAGAACTCCACTTATTATGCCATTATTTACACTCGCCGCAGTTCCCTCGTTGAGTTTTGTAATGAGGGCCTGAAAAATCAAAAAGTTAGGATGTGAACAAAAATAATAAAAATAACTAAACCAACATCAATTATCAGATAGATAGAAAACCTTGTGTATTGGAGAAATATATGGGAGAATCAATCTCTCACAATTACGAATTAAGCATCCCAACAATTTCGCACTTTCCTCTCTGCATTTGCTATCAGAACTGCCAGCAAAAGTAGCAACGTCAATGACATACAGCGACTAAATACATAAGAAGGCGAAGAATAACGTCAGCAAATTCAGGAGTTGAGATTTCGTAGAAATAATTTAAGTGGTTCAACAGCACCTTTGTTTCAGATAAGTTAACAATTGAATAAGATGACGACGGAGAGCTGGAAGAACATATGCTGGATTCTTTTCAGATAGTCTTCCAGCCAGTGATATAGCAATTTCCCGAACAGCAAAATCCTATAAGATAAAAACAAAAGAGATGCTAGCTATTATTTACACGAAAGCAACCTGGGTCATCCATTGGTGAAACTCAATATAACATACAGGTCGTTTAGACAGAATAATCAAGACTCTGTCTTATTCACTTCTAAATGCCTCAAAATTACACAATCGGAAGTGAGCCGACATGGTGGACAGAATGACATCATCACAAGTATCGAATGGCAAGGCCGTAAAATAGGAAGGCTAATAACAATGTTTCAATTTTAAGATCTGCCCAAAAAATAGCATCTGTTGAACAAAACTCTTTTCGAAATGAAAAACTTAAAACGGCTATAAATATTCTTGGGAATTTTTTTACCTCCCAAAGTATGCCCGTTTTTAGACTTTGTATTACGAACTTTTTTCCTTGATAGATTACCTCCCAAAGTACATAAAACTGACAATTTGCATCCTCTATTAAAAACCCTAATATGACACAAATTTTAACTCAATTAACGATAAATTTCGAATCGAACTTTACAAATTGATTTAGGACTTTGGAAGCCCATGTCGAGACGAACAAAATGAGGTATCGTCCATCGATTTCAGAAAACTGATACGTCGGTAATCGATCGACGAAGAAGCTAGGCACGTGTGTATAGAAAAAACTCCGTTTCAACTTTTCTTATAATCAAGATATTCGATTCCAATTGGGAGTGTCATTTTAAAGCTTAGAAGCTGAGTTTTCTAACGAGGTAAAATCTTATGAAAAATCCAACAGTATAAGAATGATAATCCAACAATAATCCAGAATGATAATTTGAGAATGATAATCTGATTGTTGAATTTTCATAAAATGTGCCTCGTTAGAAAACTCGTCCTACAAGCTTTCATATGACACCTCCGAATCGAAAATCGGATATCATGATTATCAAAAAAGTTGAACCTAAGTTTTTTCTATAAACACGTGCGCCTACCTTCTTCGTCGATCGATAACCAACATACCAATTTCCTGAAATCGATAGACTATACATCATTTTGTTGGGCTCGACATGGACTTCAAAAGCCCAAAATCAATTTTACAGATACATTCCAAATTATCGTTAATTGTGTTAAAAACTTTTTGTGTCATATTAGGGTTTTTAATAGAGGAGACAAATTGTTAGTTTCGCGGTTCGTGTATCGTGTACTTTGGGAGATAATCTATCAAGGAAAAAGTTCTAAGACAAAGTCTAAAAACGAGCCAGTGGTAAAAAAATTAAAAAAAAATAAATAAATAAATAAAATAAAATAAAATATCACAATATTCTTTCAACTACAGTGCAGAAAAAATAGGGTCATGCACCACCAGTAACATCAAAATGATGGTATCCCCACATAACTCCTCGCAGAGATGTTGCTCAAATAGGACCTTATGAATGAAGACTGTATAATTCCAAAGCTATTGCATAAATCACTAGTGACTGGGGGAAGATTCAGAACCACGGGTAACAACTATGGACCAATCATTTCTAATACCTTTTCATATTAGGTAATCTCAATAGCTAAGGCCACCACCATGAAAAATTCCATTAGAACACCACAAAATACTGGAACATTGTTTTCTCCAAATTATAAGTTAGAATACCTCATCATTTAAAGCAGCAAACACAGCTGTCAAACAATCGGCCTGTGCCAAATAATCATCAAATCCCCCAGTCTCATGCAAAGAAGAAAATATAGATCGTCGAACTGTAACATCAGCATCAGCAACAGCTGCAATGAGAAGTTTTTCCACAATCTACACAGGGAAATGACACCATAAACATTAGAAAGACAAGCAGATAGAAGCAACACAATCACTTACACGTAAAGCAGCCAACACAAAATAAACTTGGACACCAAAGCAAAAACTAATGAACCAAAATACCAACTTTACAGATTAAGATAACCATTTCAAAACGGCTGATGGACATTGCACTGACCAAAAAGTGAATCTATATCATAAATAATGAAAGTCGTTACTGATTAGAAAGAAGAAAGAAATAAGAAAAGAATAAAAAAAGACACAAGAAAACACGATTTTATAAAGAACTGCATATTTTACTTTAGTATACATAATGCTTATGAATCCCCCAAGTCCCAAAGCAGCTCCACATGCATACCACATAGAATTTAAATTTGTTGCCTAGTCTTTCGTATCTACTTTCCTATCCAGTTCATGTTTCATAAGCATATACCAATCCAACCACTACATATTTAACAAGACTCCACAACAACACACATAAAGTTATATGTAAAATGACCCCTATAACCTAGAAGATATCATGCAAAACGAACTTGCTTAAAGAACAGACAGAAACACATAAAAGATAATTACATTTGATCCAATGCAAACCAATAACTCGGGAAACGCAAGATAGATTTTATGATTTGATGCATCATGGCAAAAAGATGAGATGGTAATCAAACTGCCCGGAAGAAAGAACTGAAATTATCAAATCCTCACACATGCTTTTATGCCACACGTTCAGGAGTACCAGAGATATAAAAAGAAGTAAAGTTCTAATGTGTTTGAAAAAGGTTTAAACAAAAAGTCAAGACAGTTTGCACACAATCATACCTCCTCAACGAGGCGACGCCGCCTTCCACCGGAACGAGTTGTTCTATTAGAAGCAAATTGAACCGACAAGACGCCAAACAAAGAATTCGCCATTAGTTTGCAGCAACACAAAGCAGCGTCTTTTCTTGTACCACCATCATCATCTTCTAGATAGGGCACAACAGACCCTCTCGCAAACTCAAGAAGATCCCGATCCTGAAACAATAGTTACTACATTTTAATTAAAAATAATAATAATAATAACAAAAAAAAAAGTGCAAGATGCATAGCTGGTAGATTGTAAAAAACAAATTGGGCAATAGTTTATCAAGCAAGTTAAACAAGAGCATAACCACAGATAAACAGAAGGCCAGAAGAAAACCACAAGATCAAAATGATGTGACCTTAAAATCGAAAAGAGCAAGAGTCTGTAAAGCAAGTTGAACAAGAGCTGAACCACTGAGTTCCGGTACTTGCAACGTAGAAGCTGAGCTACTAGTCCGAGTAATGGCATTAGAAGGCCTTGACTGAACTTGTTGGTTTCGAGAAAGAACCCCAGAAATACAATCAAGCAAGCGTACTTGAATGGTTGGAAGCAAGGTAGGAATGCTGAAGAAACAAAAAGAGTTTGATGTCAATGCCACCAATTCATTCAAACAAGGAGAATGAGCTCTGTGCAAGATGTTATAGCGAAGACTGAAAACCTGGCAGTTATGTGCTCCAGGGCTTCCACTAAAGTGGAGGATAATCCGATGGAAAACATTGCATCTAGGAGACTTCGTATGTGAGGCTCCATAGAAGGTCCCATGGCTTTTGCAAGATTTCCAACACATGCCAAAGCCTCCATAGAGGGTCGCCCTCTACGAGGAGCAATCTGTGAAGAAGCAAAGCCGAATCCAAAGAGTATTATTCAGTGCTAACTGCTAACTATACACCCAGAAACAACATAATATCTTTCAGTGACAGCATAATATTAAAGTTAATTTTGATCAAATTCGTACAGCATCACGCAAGTGAGTTGTTATTGTCGGCAAATAATTGATGAGTTCGCCATCCAATGCACCAGCCATTTCACCGAGGGCAATGAACCCACTAGCAGCTTCCGCAGGTATTTTAAGAACATGAAGTATATGCTTCATGCAAATCTGTAAAATTCATGAGATTTGTTGGCCAAATTGACACATTCTCAAAACAAACTCACACCCCAGAGGCTAACAATTAGTTATTTGCTGGGGACAAAGCAACCAACCGTCAGATAATTAGTCACAAAACGGTCTCGCAGGAAATGAGCAATTCGAGGAAGCAAAGAAGTTATGCTGAGACGGACAAGCCGATCCCGATGCTCCAAATACCGAAGGACAATCTCAGCGACTTCTCTATATCGAGACATCATGAATTCACCTGTATTCCTGCAAAATGTATCATTTGACGCAATAAGAACCCACTATAATGGAGATACTATTAAACCACCTTAAACGAGCAAATTCTTATATTTTACCTAGTGTCTTTATTTCCGTTTTCTGTATAAAAAAAGTTTACCCAAGTACATAATGCCACCCTCAAGTACATCCATGACAAATGTTTAAAATATCTTAGACAAAGTGGTAGGACAAGGTCTTTGTGAAGTAGATAGGATGTAGAGCATCGTGATACCACACATCACAAATAAATAGTGAAAGTGATTAGTCCAAATTAAAGGAACTTAAAAACAATTAGAAGAGGAAAACCAAGATACAGCTCCGTGGCACCAAAAATTTGAATATAAAGCCAGGAACTCAAAAACCCATAAGACATAACTTGCTAGCATATTATACATCGCATGCCCACCTAAAGCACGTGAAAAAAATAATCATCGAATCGCACCTCAGCAGCTCCCCAACTGCAAGCAGGGAACCATGTATGCTATGTATAGGAGCATTTCTTCCCAGTCCATCTTGTGTTGCCTCAAACATACGATAATACCTGCCACAGATATGGGGCAGCAATAATATTCCAAGGTAAGAATAAAAGAAACTATCACGCTGAGGAAATTAACTTGTAATATAGCAGGAGTAAAAACTACACTTACCATTGCACGCGCCATCGAGTTTCGCGCTTCTCAATGACCCTAAGGCAGGCACGCAATGCCTCCACAGCTCTCTCCCGAATATCCAATTTTTGATCTCTTAGAGCAAACCAGATAGCATCAACAAACTCAGGAACATGGACGTTGAAAACTGTTGAAGCATTCTCAGCCATTTCCTATGACAAATATTAAGCACTTTTCAACAACTCAAGGCATAAAGGACCAACAAATATCAAGGAGAGAAACTTCCAGAGGAGTAAACTGCTACGCCAACCAGGGAATCTTAATTTACAAGAAAACTTCTTAGCCTCGATGAATCTTTGGTGAAGTGGTGAAGAGGGGGAAGAAAGACTGGAAAGATATAAATAAAAAGCAAATTTAGGGAATTAGCATTCACTAAGGGTGATTGGATATTGTTTCAACAGTAAAAAAACCAATCCAAACTCAAATTTTACTCAACTTTAACCCAACTCCACTATCTCCAATATTATCAATAAAATTAAATAATATCAACCAATCATTCTTACACATCACATCAACCTTAATTCACTATTAATCCACTCACATAATTTTAACTAACCATCACTTCCAATCATTTTTCTCCTACTTTACATCAAATCAACTTTAATAATTTTATTTAAATATTATTTTAATATATCCACTAACAACTAACCATACCACTTTTTTCAAAATTAACTATAGTTAAAAAACAAACCAAATAAAAACTAGTTGAATCTATAAACAATCACGCCACAATTGGGAGCTTAAACAGTCACAGAGTAGAACAACCGGGACGCCCATTGGAGCATATAAATTTCCTTAGGAGCTTAGTTATCAAAAATAATAGTTACTTTCGGGCAAGATAATTTTCGACTGGATCGTATAAAAACCTATGAGGCTTTCTTGTAATGTACTACTGTGATTTCCTCTAGGTCCAACAGATCAATTTTATGGAAAATTAAGATCATCTTGTATTGATTTCTCTTACACGGTTTCGCATTATATTAGGTAAAGACCTTCAGTGTTCGTTTTGCTGCAACTTGTTTAGCCCTGAAATCTTCAACACTTTCTTATTGTATCATGCAGTTTACCACAAACTCAAGCAACAGAAATAAATTTGGAATTATGTGATTTCCAAGAGTGGTAAACTTTAGATACAGTTAGGAAAGAAGCAGAATATTTAAAAATAAATAAATAAATAAATCGCCCTTATATATAACTCCCGAATGCGCTAAGTGGCAGGTTCATATGCTTCATAAGCTTATTTGGAATAAGTTCGTGCTTATTGACACATGTACAGGTTTGAGTATTAGGCTTGAGAATTACCATAAACTATTTTACCTTTCTTTTTTCCTTAAATTACCATATACTACTCTTACTTTTCTTATTTAATTCATACATTAATTATTATAAATACGTATCCTTTTATTTTTAAAATTTTATAACTTTTTTATTTGTATTTTATTTTTTATATAAGATCTATCAAAATATATCTAAATAATCAAATCGAAGATTTGATATCAATATTGCATATACAAAATAAAAAAATAATTCAACTATATTTACAAATAATACTAATTTTATTTATCAAATCAATTTAAAAAATATCAAATAACAATATAAATTATTACAAATATTAAAATCTAATTCATTAATACACCGTAAAGTAATCATTTTAATTTATTTTTTCGCAGATTTTGGATAAAATATGAAAATGAAGTATTACATAAAATAAATTTAAAAAAAATATATATAAAATATTAATTCTTGATTCAAATAGATTATATAAAGAACTGAATGTTATTATACTATATAAAATAATAAATATAACGAGTATCATAACTAAAAATAATAAAATAATTTTATATTTCATAAAGTAAGAAAATAATACATTTCTGCATAAGTTAATATTCTAAATTATTAAATAATATGAATTAAAATACTTGAAAAACTAAAAACGAGTGACACTGGCCCTATAAATATAAAATACAATCACAATGTTTTTTCTTTTTTTAAAAAAAAAAATGAAATCAAATTTATGGAGTTTCAAATAATATATGTTTTTAGATATATATAATTTTAACAATATATTTAAAACATATTATATTTTACAATTTTAATGTAAAAATACGGGTGCCATTTTGAATTAATTATTAAATTTATTATTGTTGTATTCGATATACATTGTTTTACAATAAAAATATAAATTATATTTTCATAGTACAAATATTAATATATTTAAGTACCCGTGTAGTACACAGGTTTCATACTAGTAAATAAATAAGCATGCTGAAAGTAATGTGAAAAACATAGGCAGAATGAGGGGTAAGCAAACAAGAATTTAACTTTACCTTGTTTTATAAATCAAAATTCCAAAATGCATCTTATATCAAAAATGTGTTTGCCTCACTCTCAGCTTTAATGAAAGATTATGTAAAAGGTGTAGATCTTGTAGCGGTGAGCGTCCAGACTCAGCAACATGATTAGGAAGCAATCAATTAGATCTAAAAAGGGAACTTACTTTTAAAATTAAAACCGCAGCAAAACGCCGGTGCTCAATCCTCTCCCCACGAAGCCAATCCAGTGCAATTTTTACCTGAGAAACGCAGAGACCAACAGTCAAGTAAACATTTCCATCGTGCTACCAAGGGAATTAAATGTTCAACATACCAGCTGCTCCACTTCATCAGCTGTCATTGCTCCACCAGCTCTGGCCAAGTGTCCCAGTACTTTGCTGGCAACAACTAATGTTTCAGGTTCACGTTTGGCCTCAAATGTTGTTCGCATGTAAGTTGCAATCTTTGAAACTTTCACAGCATTCTCCCCTACTGGTACATCTATAAGCTCATCAATAGCCCTCAAAGCACCCAAATTTTCAGAAACATCATTGCTCTCCAAGAGGCTGGTGATACGATCATACAGTTGATCCATGAAACGAGAGAATGCTTCACCACTAAGGTCACGAGCTCGTTCCTCCACGTGTCTTCTCAACGCCAAAGCAGCCCCATCCTGCAGATTAATTTAAGCTCTCGGTTGAAAACAACAATGAACATCTAGTTAAACAATTTAAGCAATTTAAATGATCATCCGAAATGATTCACGCACAGAGTATTCCATAAACCACCAGCGCTTGAAACTATTTAAAACGAACATCACCAACATAGATAGATAAGCATAAAGACTCAAGCAGTGGAAAATCAGTTTTGCCCTATTTCAAGTAAGTTGAAACACATCGATTCAAAATGACAAGAAAGCCAACGACAGGGAAATATGTGGTATCCTGCCTGTGTAATAAGTATGACTCACAGCTGGCGTTAGGTGCCTTAAACACGCTATTCCCACAACTTATATGCCCATTCCAAACCATGACGGACCCACTACGCCTAAATTGGGGGTCATGGGGCCCACGGTTTTTTCTAATATTTTAATGAGCACAAATCCTTCTGTTAGGCTGTGTACTTTAAAAAAATGCATACTTATACCACGAAATGTCATATTTTTGTTTATATTGTATTTTAAAGTATAATAATTGAGTATGAAAATATGTATGTTTGTTGGAAGCTGCCTGGCCATTAGGTACTCTACGTCTCTACCAGAGAGACCTACGGATTATTGCTTTTTCTCGAAATCTAGGATTACTCGTGAATGCATTAGTTATCTCTCATGTAGTTTGTGATTGTATTTACTTCATGCCAGTAGTGAAGGCCTAATGGATCCATCGATGATTTATTTATTTCATGCCAGTAATGAAGGCCTAATTGATCAATCGATGATTCCTAAAGAAAACTAAATAACATCTTTGGCCAAGATGAAGCACAAATATATGCAATCATACACAGAATGAATGAATGAATAAATAAATAAATAAGCACATACTGAAACAGCTAATCAGAAATTCAGAACCTTGGGAATTCCGCGGACACAGAGGTCAGCCAGGACACGGTTGAGAGCTTCCAAGTTGCCGGCTCCGGCAACCGCTCCAGACGGCATGTACCGTATCGACTGTGCAGTGGTGACCAGCGCCATACTATACTTATATAATTATAGAGCAATATACATACAGTACAAATGTCTCAAAACCCTAACATGATCTTCCCGGACGCATCACAAGACCTGCAGAGTGTCAAGCCTAAAATTAAGGAACTCAACAATGATTTTTACAATCAGAAAGCCTAGCGATATACAAGCGGTCGAGGTATCTCAGAACCCTAACAACAATAACTAATGCTCTTGCTATAGGAAAACAGCAGAATTTTCCCAAATAGGGTACAATCAGAGGGAAAAAAACACGAAACACATCACAAACCTGGGCGAATTCTTGATGGTGAACGCTAACGCGGTTTTGCTTTCGAAATTTCGTGAAGAAAAACAAATTTATGAGCATTTGCCTTGTAATATATCGACGAGTGCTAGTCTGTTGGTGTAATTTTGCTTTTGGAAGGCGATGAGCTTTGGCCTTGAAGTATAGAGTGAAAAAAGTTTGAGCGCTCTTCAATTTTTATTAATATTAACCCGAAAAAGAGAAAATTTTAGGGTAATTTATTTAAAAAAAAAATATAGAAATTAAGTGGACAAAAAAAAAAAAGAAAAAAAGGAGTGGACAAGCATGAAACACATGTATTCCTTGAATACGTTTTTCAAAAAAAAATTAATTAAAATAACGTATTCCTTGAATACGTTTTCATTAAATAATTTTAATTAAAAAAAAATCGTAAACAATTTTCAAAATAATTTTCGTTAAGTAAAAAAAATAAAAATAAAACCGTATTTAAGAAATACGTTTTCAGAAAACGTATTTACTAAATGCGTCTTAACAAAAACTATTTTTTTAAAAAAAAATACATTTAATCAAAACGTATTTAAGGAATACGTTTTACATTTAAATGCACATAAAACGTATTCCTTAAATACGTTTGTTGTAAAATATATTAAAAAAAAAATCTTCTTCTCCATTCGCGAGCAACAGAGAGCTGAGAGAGCTGAGAGAACTGAGAGAGCTGAGAAAGAGGAGCGAAAATAGTTGAGAAAAAAAAAAAACTCGATCCAATCTTCACTATAACGTGAACCGACAACAGCAACACGAGTCTTATTTCCGGTTAATTCATTCGCACGAGGTATATTGGTTTATTTTAACTTTTTATATTTGTTTGGAGTTATTTGGAGATTGATGATTGTTATAATATGTT